AACATTTGGTGGCTACCATCATTCATACATTCGACTGAGCCTGATCCATTTCTGTGTTGGCTCCCATGTTTACAACAGAATTTATTAAAAGACAAAATAGACATGACACAAAACCAGATCAAGAACCCCAGGTTGGCAGGTGTGACGTCTCACTTTTGCCCTGGACAAAAGAGTATTTGGGTCCCACAGAAAGAACCCCTCCTCCTCCCAGGTCAGATCCAGACAGAACCAGATGTCACAGAAAATTAATTTGATTCACCAGGGAGGCCTCCATAGACTCTTGCTGCTTTTCTCAGCACTGTAGTCCACTTTAATAGACCAGGAAACTGATAATTCAAGCCTTGGAACATCTCAAGGTAGACACTTCCTGAGGTGGCCTTTCAGCCCAAGAGTCCCAGAGTAAGGGTCAGGCTTTAGAACTTGGATGAGTGATTTGATCTCACTGAGGCCTCCAGAAAATGTTAATCCTACCAGGTGAGAATAAAATTATCATTACCACAATGTTTGAGCCAAATCTGAAGCAAGCTGTATTAAATACTGGCCAGGTCCATGGATAGTGGCCAGGTCCATACCCAAGATTCCCAGAGTTAATCCCAAACTACATTAGTAGGAACTTAAAAAGACAAAACCCACAAGGCTACTGCACACACTCATACAATCAGGGACGAGTATACATCCTGATGTACTTCCTGCCTGCATACCTCCCGCCTGTGTGTGATCAAGCATGTCCTAAGCAGTTGGAGCAGCCAAGCTTGTTTACGGAAGCAAAAACTCTTGCCTTGTTATCGTACATGAACTACAGCCCTCAGCACTCCAGGAAGCAATCTGTCCTTGGGTAATTGGGGCTCACAGGTTAACACAGTAATTTAAATTTAAAACATAACGTCAAGCCTCACATGACCTCCACATGTGCACCATGAAGTGTGTGCTCAGGTGTCCATGCACGGGCGCGCGCGCATGCGCACACACATACACACACACACACACACACACACACACACACAGTTTTTAAAAACAAAAAGGGAGTGGAGGAGCTGGAGAGATGGCTCAGCAGGTAAGACTACTTACTGTTCTGTATCTGAATCCTATCCCAGCATCCATACGAGGCCACTCACAACTGCCTGTAATTTGCTCCAGAGGACTGAAATTCTCTTTTGCCTCCTTTAGCACCTACATAAAAACCCACATAAAAACACAAATTTAAAAAATCTTTAAAAAAAAGTAACAGAGAAATCATTTATCCCAAGCCAAATATGAGTGCCATACCCTTGAACTCTGATCTAGGTTGTCCTACATGTCATGTTCCACTACAGAAACTGTGCAGGTGGCTGTGTCCCTGCATCAGAGCAGGACATCAGTGTCTTCCTTTCCTACCTGCTCTCTAACTACCTTAAGACGGGATGGCTAGACAGCTCTTGGGATCCACCTGTCTCTGCCATAGCCACTCTTAGCTTTCCAAATGGGTAGTGGGGATTTGAACTCAGGTTCTCATGCTCACAGAGCAAGCACTCTTATCTGCCAAGCCATCTCCCCAGCCCCATGGCAGTTATTGTTATTTCTCTGTGGTCATAAAACAAAATAAACTCCTAAGTGAATGCATTTATCAAATGTGTTGCTGGGAACAACAGATAGGCAAGTTGCAACAAAGGAAACTCTGGATTTCAGATCCAGTCTGATGATGGTCTCAGTGCTGAGGTTGGTAGAAGCTACTAGGCCATTGATGGCCCAAGATAACTGTGGCCCTAGCTCTGCAACATTCAAACTCTCCACAACCACGGAGCTCTAGTCAGTCTGTAGAATCTTCAGCACAGATGCAGCTTTTTCAGAGAACATCAGTTCATAAGGTTATCAGGCCGTAGATTAAGTGGGATTCAGAGGACAGGAGGAATGCCCCTCACCTTACAGGAGGACCAGAGGATCACAGTAGGAACAAGATGTAGGGGAGACAGAATGGAAAGGAGAATGTAGGCTAAAGGAAAGATGACAGTGAGTAAGAAGAATTGAATTTGCCCTCCTGCTAGAGACAGATTACAACAGTAAGGCATAAGAAGCTGGGCAATAGTATGTCCTGAGATTGAAAACAAAGTGAACCCTAAGAAAGAGCCTCCCTGCTGTGACACAGGGAGGGAGAACCAAGGCAGAGCCCAGAGACCTCCGTGAAGTAAGAGGCAGAGTAAGGGAGCAAGGCTTGAAATGTTTTAGAACACAGGCATCTAAAGATCTGAAGAGGAGCCCCTCCCGTCTTCAGGTGAAGACTGAGCAGCACACTCAAAACACAGAAAGAGTGCCTGAAAGGATAGGGAAGAAGCTTTCCAGACATCAGGGCTGGAAATAGTTGCTCCAACTTCATAATAGAAGGCACTGGAAAGAGATGAAGGTTCCATGGCAGAAGAGACAAGAGCCTGCTCAGAAGCCACTTAAGTAAAGACACCAATCCCATCTGGGAAGCATCTGTCCTCAGAATCTAGTCTTTTTCCAGAGGCTCCACCTGCTAATACCATCAAGAGATGAACTGGGGGAGAACAAAAGGTGAACTAAGGCTCAGTAAGACAATACACTCCAGCAATCTCAGTACTTGGGAGGGAGAGACAGGAAGATTGCTGCAAGTTTAAAGGCAGCCTAGACCACGTGGCAAGTTCCAAACCAGCCAGGGCTATATTTAAAGACAGCTTGTCTCCGAAAAAAAATAAAAATAAAAATACATTAATTGGAGAGGCACAAATGTACACGTCCATAACAGTGGACAGCCTTAAGGTCAATAAATTTTCCAGCCTTGATTAAACTAACACATCCCTTGAATAACATAATATAATAAGGAGAATATTTCAGGGTTTCTTACTTTTTTTTTTTTTTCTACTCAAGGTGCCTTTTTGCTTAAGAAATTTTCACATGACCCTGAGTAAATAGGTATATAAAATAGGTACACAAATCAAATATTTACTGACAATAAATTATAAACTTTTTATTTTAAAACAGTTCTTGGAGTCAGCAGGATGGCTCAGCTTGTAAAGGCGTATACTGCCATTTCCAAAGACAGAACCCACATGATAAAAGGAAAAAAAAATCAGCCTCTAAAGTTGTGCTCTGACCTGTGTGTGTGTGTGATGTGCAAATATTTTTTAATTATAAAAGTTAAAACAATTCCATGGTGTAGTATGTGTGTGTGCATGTGTGTGTGTGTGTGTGTGTGTGTGTGTGTGTGTGTGTGTGTGTTGCCATTCATTAGAGGTGAAAGATGAGGGGCTAGAGAGCTGGGTCAGTGATTAAGAACTTACTGTTCTTACAGAAGTGCTGAGTTTGGTTCCCAGCATCCTCTCCAAGCAAATCACAAGCCCCTACAACTCCAGCTCTGGGAGATCTGACACTCTATTCTGGCCTCTGCTGGTACACTCACAGACACACATAATTAAAAATAAAGATACATCTTTATGTTAAGATGAAAGGTGAATATAATTGTTTATATGTGAAAAAAAGAGCTAAATCTTGAGCCAGGTGGTAGTGGAGCATTTCTTTAACCCCAGAAGAGAGTAAAGATTGGGAGGCAGAGGCAGGCGGATCTCTGTGAGTTCAAGGCCAGCCTGGGCAACAGAGCAAGTTCCAGGGCTACATAATGAGACTTGTCTCAGAAAAACAAAAACAACTAAACCTTTGCTGAATATTTTAAATCAAACAATAGATAGCATCGTCAATGTTTTTTTAGAGTTGATCAATATTTTTTATTTTTTAGGGTTGGGAAAGTAACTCAGTTGATAGACTGCTTGCCTACTGTGCTTGAGGTCCTGTGTTTCATCCGCAATGTTGTGATGTTACAGTGCCTGTAATCTCAACACTGTAAAAGCGAAAGCTGCAGGTCATCCTTAGCTACCTAATATGTTTGAGGCTACCCTGGGCTACCTAAATCTCAGTCTCTAATTTTTTAAAATTGTATTATTGTCAATGCTGAGAATATTGCTTTACATAAATACGTACTACAAAATAGCAAATATGCTTAGGGTCATTTCAAAATTTGTTGGAAATTCCATCCTGATCTCAAGCCAAAATGCATTTAACTTTTGTTTTTGAAACTCAGCCAGCAACTCAAAGTAATTTGAAAGTCAAGCATCCTAACACAGTACCAAGATGTGCTAATTTAATATTTATATGCTGAGGGGTGATGGCGGGAAAATGGTAGAAGTCTTTGTTTTCACATGAAACCATTGTGTTTCTACAGATGCAGGAAACTCTACTTGCACACGAGCCTGGAGAGCACGTGCAGTTCAGAGCACAGAGGAGTCTCAAGCCTGAGCCAAGGTGGTTTAGGCAATGTTTGTTAGTGTTGGGTGACCTGACGGTGGACAAGGGCCTAGAGCAAACGCTGTGTGTTCGGGACCAAAGCTGAAGGAATTTGCACAGTGCAAGACAGGCAAGCACTGCCAGAAACTGCTTCAATTCGTTATGTTCTTTATTTTGAATTAATTTCGGGAGCGGGGCTGGCAAGATAGCTCAGTGGGTAAAGGTGCTTGCTTTGCAAGCCTAGTGGCCTCAGTTCAATCCACATGGTGAAAAGAGAATTCTTAACAGCTCTCTCTCCCTCTTCCCCTCCTGCGCCCCAACCCCCCTCCCATTCCCACCCCCAGCCCCCCACAGAGTCCCAACACTCTTTGGTGCTCTACCACCCCCGTTCATGACGTCATGGAAACTTGCTTTGCGGCTCAGCTTCTAACGCGGAAGCCTACCCTCAGCTGTGGTAAGGCAGCAAAACCCAAAAGAGTTGTTATGATAGGGACTGGAACCAACCCGCGGCTGAAGGGGAGTCGCTGGGTTGATCCTCCCCACAGGAAACCCACAGGGTTAGAAACACCAGGCCAGGATGGACAGGAAGCTGCCGATCGTGCGGCTCCTCTGGGACTGAGGAAAGGAAACGCCGAAGGGAGAGCACAGGTGGGCAAGATCCCAGTCAAGCTAAAACTCCCAACCCATGCCTTTGAAAACACAGGAGCCTGCTGACTGAAAGAACACATCTTTATTGAGCACGGAGGGAGGGCACGGTTGATAGGACACTCTGCGGAGCTCATTCTCAAGATCATTTGTGCCGGGACCAATTCCCTCCAAGACGGCTGTACTGAGCATCATCGCGATCCCGAAGAGGCTGAGATGAGAAAGAAGCACGACCCGAGTCACCTCTGAACCCTTCTCAGCACCCATGCCTGACTTCGCCAGACATCCAGGGATGAGCCATCACCCCACCCCCACCCCAGGATTTGCCAGACATCTCACGACCCCTACTGTCAGGTCTCTTAGTCCTTACTCCTTTCTCCCATTCTTGTCTCCTCCCTTAGGGCTTACCTGATACAGCTGCTCATTCTTCAACAGGGCTTGAAAGTCAGCAGCTAGAAGCAAGAAAAGAGAGTCATTAGGCGCTGGAGAGTATGCGCTAAGAGACCTAAGAACATTGCAGGGGTATCGGGAACCGGTCACACCGGCCTTCACCCTCAGAAGTCTGCATGAGCACCACCGGCACACATGTTCTCCCAGCATCCTGCGGTATGAGTTCCTAAAACATCGTCAGAGAAACTCCCAGATGGAGCCAGCCCTACCACCATCCCCGTCTCTCAGCCAGTTCATGAATTCATTCACACACACACACACACACACACACACACACACACACACACACAGCCCTTCCACTAACCCCCAGAGAGCCTTCCAGTCTCATGTCCTTCAAAACAGTAGACTCCCAAAGCCAGGAACAGAGTGATGATGAGGTCAGTGACGATGATGCCAGCCAGAGTGGCTGACTTCAGCTCCACACAGTTCTGGCACACTGTTGGGAAGAGGAGGAAGAGAGTTTTCAAGGTCTCTGATCCTAGGAAGACCCTAGGCTCCCCATTCCAAGACTCACACGTCAGTGAGAAGGTCATGGCCTTCCTCCTTCCATCTCCACCCTTTTCCCGAGGAATTGCTGAAGAGAAATATGACATAACTTCAGCTTTGGGGGACTTTAGCTGAGAAGTGGACCAAGCCCCTCTCCAAGCCAGCAGTAACAAGCCAGCCCCTGCTGTTCTGTCTTACTTAGTCAAACTCTCTCCCATTCTGAAGCACTCCCTCACCAATCTGGTTCATACCACCACGAGCGCCTTTGGTTCGTTTAGAGAATAAATTGGTTGACCACACTCTGCTTTAAGCCTGAGTATTCTCATATGCGGAGGGCCCATGATTTCCTCCCTTTGGGTCCAGGAGGCACATACTTCGGTAATGGACTTGTATGGTAGACACCGTATTCTTCAGGTCATCTGTCCCATTACACGTATACACTCCTCGTGGGTCCAGGATGCCTTTTCCCAATTTCAGTGTTTTATTTTTTGCAAACCGTTCTTCCACTGTTCCCTCTAGAAGTACAATGCTGGTATTGCAAGTAAGAAATACTTGGTCTTCGTGTTCAGTCACTGTTATCTTGAAAGGGCTCCCTAAGAGGGAAAATACCATTGTCAGAGGCAGCTCTCTGGTATGTAGCCGACCCATCATTCTGCCGAAGCGCATGCTTATGGAGCCCTTGTCTAGTAAGGGTTATGATTCCTAGTGAAGGAGGCAGAAGCCACCTGAGGGGGACTTCACGTTCTCTAGGAACTGCTGGGCCGTGAAGGCCATGAGGCTGTAGTCCAAGCAGAAAACGGATTGTTCAAATTAGCTTTAATTGTCAGTTCAACTCACCCTAGTGTCAGCTGAGAAAAGAGTCTCTAAATGAAGAATCGCCTGCTTCAGATTGCCCTGCGGGCTTGTCCACAAGGGATTGCCTTGATTGCCTTAACTGAGTCAGGAGAGCCCAGACAACTGTGGATGACACCATTCCCTGGTCAGGCAGGCCTGAGCTGTATAAGAAAGCTAGCTAGATAAGCATCAGCAAGCAAAGGAACGGGAAAGAGCATTCTCCCATGGTTTCCCTGCACTCCTGCCTGAATTTCTGTCCTGACTTCCCTTAATGACAGACTGACCTGGAAGTGTAAGCTTAAAAAAAAATTCTTTTCTACCTTAAGTTGCTCTTGATCAAAGTATTTTATTACAACAACAGAATTCGAACTAGGCCACAGATCCTGAGAAATTTGGAGGAAAAAGGGAAAACTATGAAACTTGGTCGATCCAAGAACCTTTCTGAAAATGAGTCAGACCCCCCATTAGACTCCTGGGGTTCCCCAAGAGCCCTGAGAAGGCAGAGGGATGTTAGCCTGGCAATTGCACCTTTTATACTAAAGGTGTCCAGTGTCTCTTCCTAGCCCATAACTCTCTCACCTCCACTTCTCATCCCTTCCTTCTCCGTTGCCTCTGCCCTGCTATCTGCCAGGGTACTGAGAGGCTCACTAGGAAGGCCTTTGCCAGGGCCAGTGGCCTCTGGGGCAGAGAGAAACTGCAATAAATCAGCAGCCCAAATGATCCAGGTTTCCCCAGGGCAAACCCCATGTAAGAAGATTAGCTGGGAACATAGCTCAAAGGGAGAGGCATGTGCAATGGCCTAGATTCTATTTCCAGTACTGTGTGTGCGTGTGTGTACGCATGTATACGCAGTCTATATATTGACACAACGACTTGCATCTGTAATCCCAGCCCTTAAAAGGCTGAGACAAGAGACTGCCCGAGACCGCAAGGCCAACCTGGGCTACCTAATAAGTTCCAAGACAGCCCTGGGCTATACAGAGTGACTGAGACTCCATCTCAAAAACAAAAAACAAAAACAAAACAAAAAAAAACGTAGTTTGGCAGTTCTGTCAGCGGCAGCTGGGGTAGAGGCACAGACACTATCGCCTGCAGCAGCCTGATGAGTTTCTTCAACCTTTGAGGAACACAACTCAAGTAAAACCACAGAAAACTTTAGGATGACCAGCAATGAAGCAAATTGGAGTTTATCTTAATATAGTTTATTTATGTTAATATGGGGACACCTCAATATAGATTTTAAGCATGGATGTTAAGGGGAAGCGGCACTCCAGAATGGCTGCCCAGAGAGAGACGCACCATTGTCTCTACAGCAGCTGTATATGCACAGTTTTGTTGTTGTTTTTTGTGGAGGGGGGAGGGTTGAAGTTCTTACCCACAGAGTTTCTAAGAAACGTAAAGGAATTCACAGAGTGGTTGGTATAGGCATCTGACAGGATTACAATTGAGCCAGTAAATGTTTAGATTTGGGGATGCCGGGAGGCAGGAGATCATCACTGTAAACAAAGTAAGTAGTCTTATTTGTGAGGGTTCTAGAACATGTTCTAGAGAGAAATGAGCCCCCTCCCCCCAAAGTCATATACACTCAGGCACTAAGCCTGGCTTGTTGCTATTTTATTGTAAAATAGCCGTATAGGAAAAGTGTAGTATGTGGTCAACTTTGACAGAAAATGCTAATTGTGCCAAAATCCTCAAACCTCAGCTAGTGAGAGACTTCAGCTAGTTTCTAGGGTAAAAGGTTCCTGTCCTTCCTGTGTCCCTATAATTTTCCCTGTCTTTTTAGCTTGCCTCAGTACCATGGAGAAAGGGCCACAAACAAACAAAAAACAATCAGATCTGTTCCTGAGGCTCCATATAGGTCAGGTGTTGTCAGGGAGGGAGGTGTTTCAGGCACTGCCATGTCTACCGCCAGCCTCCGCAGAGATGGAGTCTGTGTTCACTAAGCTTCGTACTTAGTCACCAATGTGAACACAAGAGTATCCTCTAGAAAACCCCAAAATGGCTGCTCCTGCCTCTGAAGCAGGAGTATAGATGAGCACGCTAGAGAAGACAGGTGCATACAGTTCTCCTCCTCCCACAGCCCTATCTTCTTTAGAGTTATTTCCACTAGAAATCTCCAGCAGCCGGGACGGCTCTTAGAGTGACCAGTTGACCCAGTTTTCCTGGCACTGCTGAGTTTCTGAGATGTAAGCTTTTCAGGGTTATTTTGGAGTTGGTTTGGTCTGTTTTTTTTTGTTTTGTTTTGTTTTTGTTTTTTTGGTTTTTGTTTGTTTGTTTGTTTGTTCGTTTGTTTTTTCACTTCTAGAGATCTGCTACCCCTGTGCTATAAACCCAGCCCACTTTTCTGTTTTGAAAGTGAACAAACTGGAAAGAGTTGGCACTTACTAACTTTAATATAATATACTCTCTGTCTGTCCTTCCTCACTCAGCTGAAGCCAACTTTTCTCTTAAAGATTGCTCCTGAATTCTGAGCTGTGGCTCTGGGTAGACACATAACCAAGAATCCTACTCCAAGAGGACATTTGCCTTAGAAAGTGCAATAGGTATAACTTCTTCCATTTCTAGTCTCAGGCCTAGGCTTACACAAGATGGAACCACTTCCTACAGATGTCTGGTCCAACGCCTTTGGACCAATGTGAGCTTTGACTGAAGTAGATCAAAGCCAAATGCTTCCTATACCCCAGCTCTGCCCTTTTACTCTCCCTGATAAAATGAAGCCAGCATTGAGGTGCACTTCCCAGTTGACCTGCTTCCAGTGACAGTGTCCTTCCCCGGCCCCTTCTCCACACATCAGAAGATGCCTCACTCACCTTGAGGGAGAACTGCCAGTAGCAGAACAGCCAGGAGCCCGCTATGCTCCATCTCTCAGAGGAGTTTCATCCAACGAATACAGACAACCACAGACTGATCAGCCAGGGTGAGCACTACTCTCCGCCAAAGGACTCATGGGTATTTAGTAAAAGGAAGAGTGGGGGAGGAACTGGAAGAGATCTTCCTCTCTGCCTTCTGCCTTTGATGATAGAAGGATGTCAAAGCAAGAGTAGGTTAGGGGTGGAGTAAGACGGAAACAGGTGCAAATTGCTCTTTCTGGAGCAGAGAGTTTGGGATGAGGCAGAGGCAGAGCACAGAATATGAGGGAAATTCATTCTGATTTCCAGGAGGTGTAAGGAGATTTAGAATAGCCTTTCCTGAATCAGTGGTAATAAGTGAGGAAAACGCTGGGCTTCCTGTTGACAACACAACTACGCTTACTCACAAACAAGAAAGAGCCACCTCTTCAAATCCACGGAGAGAAGCTATGAGCCCCATTGTACAAGCCATATTAGCCTTTCCCCCAGTTTCTGGCCAGTCTCAGGACCCTTCACAGGGCAGTCTGGGACACATCAAGCTGCTTCTAGCCAGTGGGAAGATGGACTTTAGGACCCCTCAGCCATACAACTGCATCCTAGATCTAGCACGTAGTACCCATGGCGCCAGGCATGGAATATTTCAGAGCTTGTCTCCTTCACTGTCCTTTGCTGTAAGGATTTGGGGAGCAGTGTCTGCATGGTGCAAGCCTTCTCAGAATGAGACTCTTCTTAACAATATAATCCAGTCACTTGTAGAACTGAGCCTCTCCAGGAGACAATAGACTTTTTCTATCACAGGCTGTGGGGATCTGAAACTTTCCACACTGACACAGTCAGAAGCTCACCAGCCTAGAGACAAAACTGTGTTTGATGCCGGGTGTCACATAGGAGGACTGTGAATTTCTGTTATGCACTGGCTGGCTGAAGGAGACAGAGGTCTGAGACCCTGGAAATAGCCCAGGGTATTGCACCAAAAAATAAGCTAGCTGCCCTGTCGGGATGGGCACACTTATTCTCTTCCAGGTGGATATCACTTCGATGGTCTCAAAAGAAAAGTGACAAAATCCCTTAATGAAGGTCTACCCTAAGATGCTTTTCCTTTTGGAACTCCAGCCCCACAAACCTAAATCCATGAATTCTGGGGTCAAGTGAGAAACAAGTCCAGTCCTAGCAAGAACCACAGGCAGGGGACATTCATCATTGTCCTGAAGGAAAAGGCCCAGGGCAGTCTTCAACCCATTGTGCAAAAAGGTTCTAGGGGTGAGGAGTTCTCAAATGGGGATCTAGGGCCTTCACTCTCACTCCCTGCCACCTGCCACCCTGCAAGCCTAAAAAAAACAAACAGAGGTATGCTCGTCCCTGCTGGGGCCCTTGCATCCCACACTTTACCCCGGGTGGGGGCCCCAGGTTTTGCCTCTGCCCAGAGTCCCAGCTCAAAGGATGCTGGGCGGAGCCAGGCTAGCTGCTGCACAGGCTGGCTGGTTGGCTGGCTGCTAAGGGACGCTCTACACTCCTGCTGGAGAAGGAGAGAAGCTGACATGGAGCAGAAGGGTCTGACTGGCCTCATCCTGGTGATCTTTCTTCTTCAAGGTAAGAGTTTACACGAGTGTCTGCCTGACAGCATGGGGAAGGCTCAGGAGAAGAGGCTGGAACGGGGGGTGGGGGTGGGGGGAGCAGAGTTATTGGAATCCTAATTAGCCTTGAGCCAGCTTCATCTGTCATTTTAGAATTCAAAGAAAGAGAGGCAAAAACGAAGCCTCCAGCTGTTCTCTGCTGGAAAGAAGCATGGGGACCAGAGGGCTAAACTCACTAAAGAGAGGCTTGTGGTGCCGCCATCTTAGGTGAGAATATAGTTGAAAGAAGCTGGTGCGGCTGGGGTAATGGCTCCGTCAGTAAGGTGTTTGTTTACCATGCAAGAGTTCAGTCCCTAGACCCCCTGCTCCCCCTGCTGAAAACAGGTGTGGTAGCACACTCTTGTCATCACTGTGCTCAGAAGGCAGAGGCAGATGGGCTTTCTTGTAGGCTAGATAGACTCAGCAAATCACCACATTCAGGTCAATTAGACACACACCACACCACGCCACGCCACGCCACGCCACGCCACGCCACACCACATCACACACACAGCCCAGTTAAGGAAATTGGGAGGAAAAGTTCTATACAGTGGACCTACGAAACATTTGTCTACGAAGCCGTTTAACTGGTCAACGAGCATGGTGAGATCCAGATACGTAAGACTCCAGAGAGTGAAAAGATGAACAAAAACCTTCTCAAGGAGCTCAGAGTGTCCTTGGAGAGATCGGTTGCAGTGCTGACACACTGAGTACAAGGGGCAGCATGGGATGCCTGTTTGAAACATCCAACAGGAAGTAGGCAAGTTAGGCTGACACCTGGGTACCCTGGGAGAAGCCAAAGTCATGAAAATGATTTTATTTACTTGTTTGTTTTGTGTTTGAGGATGAGGATATATATGCAGGTGGTGGTGTGTGTGTGGAGGACAGAGGACGACCTGAAGGAACTGGTTTTCTCCTTCCACTATGTGGGGCCTAGAATCAAACTCAGGTCACCAAGCTTGGCAAAAGGTGCATTTACCTGCAGATCCGTCACAATGTCCCTCCTTCTTCTCCTTTTTAACAGGGTCTTACTGTGTAGCCTGGGCCTCAGGAGTGCTGGTGTTATAGGCATAAGACACCACACCCAGATAAAGGCCTGAAAAATTTTGAAACTATTTTTGTGATGCGTCAGGAACAAAAAAAAAAAAAAAAAAAAAAAAAAGCTGAGGAAAGAGTTGTAGAAACCAAGAGCATGAAATGTTTGCTGGGTATAGCAACACCTAAACTCTGAACTCTGGAGGTAGTGGCAGGAAGATCAGGAGTTTCAGGGCAACCTGGTCTGTATAGCAAATTCTAGGTCGGCCTAGACTATATGAAACCCTGCCTCAAAACAACAACAAAAAGCAGGTGTTGAACATAATCCACCAATATGAAAATATATTTAAATTTTAACTTGTGGAATTTGTTAAAATGAAGATCATGGCTGATTATACCAATTTCATTAGAGTGATGGCAGTGAATGCCAGATGGGGGTGGAGGTGGGAGGGATAAAGAGTGGCTGAGAGGAATTTAAATGAGAGGCAGAAGAGATGGAATAAAAGAGAAATAGAGTATAAGAACTAGCTAATGGGTGAACATGTTTTTGTTTTGTTTTGTTTTGTTTTTTCGCTAAAGGAGATGGTGATCCATAGAACAGAGGTCTAGAGCAGATGCTGGAAAGAGAACTGAAGGCAGAGGCGAGGGTACACAGAGGAAGGCAACATTACCAAGTGAGAGCAACAGAAAGCAGGTGCAGGGGCTCTCACCAAGGGCAGGCCTTCCTATAACCACATAGGAAACGGAAGGTCGGGACCACAACAGCACTGCTGCTCTCAAAGCAAGGAGGGGAGGCAGTGCCACTGCAGAAAATGCGTGGGTGACAGCAGGGGTAGGAGGGCTTGAACAAGATGTCGAGAGTGGAGAAGCCTTTCTGAGAGAAAATGGAGAAAGCTAGACAACACAGCCAGAGGCTAATACTGAAAGCCAGAGGGAGGCTTCTGGAAACAGTACTAAGTTGAGCAGCAAAACAGCTGAGCCCTGAGTCCCACTCAGCCACCAATAAGTTGTAAACCCTTGAACACCACTGCCCCCTGAACTCAGTTCTCACACCAGTCAAGGATGACCAAATGTCATTCCCTCCACTTTTTTTTTTTTTTGGGGGGGGGAGAGAATCAATTATTTCTCTTTTTCTCTCTCTTTCTCTCTCTTTCTCTCTCTCTCTCTCTCTCTCATTTTTTGAGACAGGGTATCATTATGTATCCTGGATGTCCTAGAAATCAATATGTAGACCAGGCTGGCCATGAACTTTCAGAGATCTGGGTGCCTTGCCTTCCAAGTGTTGAGAGATTAGAAGTGTGCACCACCATGCTCAGCCTCTTTCTCTCTCTCTCTCTCTCTCTCTCTCTCTCTCTCTCTCTCATATTTTTATGAGTTTTATAAAATTCTTAAGTCAGTCAGTCACCTCAAGATCTCCCCCATGGACAGTCTACCTTCTGATGGTCCAGCCCTAGGATGTCTTCCTACTTGTAGTAAGGCCCATACAACCATTGCACATGGGGAAGGGACAGACATATTGGAATTGCTCCTGTAATGCTCCACCCTCAGATGGCCCAGCCTCAGTTGCATACTTTGCTACCCAAAGCAAGAAGCATGAATTTGTTTCTCCTAAACCCTTTGATTTTATCAGGCCCATGTTTGAGCACCAATTTGTTGTGCTAACTTTTCCTGGAGAGACGTGAACATCTATCTACTTCCTGCAGGACACTGATGCAGATCAAAGTAATAATTCCACTGAAGTCCAGCTTAGTGAAAAGTGAGTTTTGTTGACTTTACAGAGAAAAAGGTGAGGGGTTAGTTGCAGGGATGTGAGTCTCCTCAAAAGAGCTACATCACTGTGAAGTCCCAACCCATCACAGAGAACAAACTTATAGAAGGTGCATTGTGGAGTCTTCTATTATCTTTCATATGCATTTGTGTAAGCACCAGGGTTAATAGAAACTTCAAAATTCTAATCCTGTAATCCAGTGGTTCTCAACCTGTGGATCACAACTCTTGTGGGGGTCAAACAACATTTTCACAGGGGTCACATATCAGATATCCTACATATCAGACATTTATGTTACGATTCATAACAGTAGCAAAATTGCAGTTATGAAGTAGCAACAAAAATAATTTTATGGTTAGGGGTCATCACAATGTAAGGAACTGTATCAAAGGGTCACAGCGTTAGGAAGGTTGAGAACCACTGATCTTGGTGGCAAAACTTGACCAGCCTCATTCCATATCTTCTCCTTGGCATAAAGTCAGAGTAGCCAAGAGTCCACTATGAACAACAAAGGTGTGTTCATTACTCATGAAATCCCAAAAGTTTGGAAACTCTACATAGAGGGCTGGAGAGATAGCTCCGTGGTGAAGAGCACACACCGCTCTTGTAGAGGACCACAGTTTTGTTCCCAGCACCTACACCAGGCAGCTCACAGTTTTCTATAACTCCAGCTCCAGGGGCTATGTCGCCTCTGGCCTCCACAAACAACTGAACTCTCATGCACACAAGAAATTGTTCTGATGTGCACACACACACACACACACACACACACACACACACACGCAGAGCTAACAATAAGGTAAATCATAGGGAGAAAGGAAGAAAGGAAAAAACTCCTGCCAGAAAGGTAAGACAAAAACCAGTCACAGTTAATCCAATTTGGTGATTTAGGCTACATCCAGGAAAGAGGCGGAGACACACCCATCGCCATGCACTAGCATCTCTCTTACTCTTGACCTCAGGTGACCATGCAAATACCTTGGCCTGTCAGAACAAGTTCATGCCGAACTGATCCTTTGTCTTTCTTCTTTTTTCCCAGGGATTGTGGCCCAGTCAAAACAAGGTAAGATAAGTGGTTTCTCTCTGTTCTCAAAATCTGAGGAACTTCACAGAAGTCTGGCCTCCTACAACAGTGGTTTCAGGGGCTGAGGAGCTGGCTCAGCAGTCAGGAGCATTTCTTGCTTTTCCAAAGGACCTAAGTTCAGTTTCTAGCACCCACATGGGATTGCTTACAGCTGCCTCCTATTCCAGCTCTAGGACATCCAACACCTTCTTCTGGCCTCTGTGAACACCTGCACATATGTGACATATACTCATACAAACACACTTACACGTTCATTTAAAAAAAACATCAATAGTCTCATAATTTAGAAAGGAAACAATTCTGAAAAGATGAGGTGGTAAGCGGTGAAGATCTGACATTTCCATTATCAACCAAATCAGTGTCCTGCTGGGACCCATTCTGAGTTTTCCTAGACCTAAGCAAGACTTATTTGGTTCTTGCAGTAGAAACAGGAATCTAGTAACTACTCATGTCTCAAAATATGACTGAACCAGCAGAATTAGCACCACCAAGGAGCATGGTGGTAACAGATCTTACCCCCTAGAAGTACTAAAGAAGGCCTGAAATTCTAGCATGAGCCACATATGACTTGTGTGCACATTAACAGCAGAAAAGCCAACAGTGGTGGCACATGCTTTTAGTGTCAGCACTGGAAGGCTGGATCTCTGTGAGTTTGAGGCTAGCCTAGTCTACAAAGTGAGTTCCAGGACAGAAATACACGGAGAAAACCCTGTCTCAAAAAAAAAAAAAGGAAAGAAAGAAAGAGAAAGAAAGAAAGAAAGAAAGAAAGAAAGAAAGAAAGAAAGAAAGA